TGCCAAACTGCAGGAGGCTTCCCTCCGGTTGTGTAGTGGAAGATATGCCTAATGGCTATTCCAAGGTATAAATTCTTCCTTCCGAATATGTTTTGTCACGTTGACTTGTTACTACTTTTATTTGTTGTTTCCTTCACATTTATTGAGTCACTCGAAAGTAGGTATTTTTTTGCCTTTTTGTGTTAAATAAGTTTGTTGAAGAAACCGACCACACCCTTGGAACTAATTAGTTGAGAACATTTAATGTGAACACTTTTCGCATGCAAGAATTTTGTGTCAACATTCTGGATTGACACTTTAGTTTCAACAAAAGGACATAAGACCTTTATTAGAATCCCTTTAGCAAAGATTTGAAAAGTCAAAATGTGTTTTTGATATTAATAATATATTTTTGGAACATGTTTGAATAATTTTTTGAAAGTATTTATCTTACTAGAAAATGTTTTTAAAAGAAGCTCAGCAAATGGAATCTTATTGCAACTCCAATGTGTGCACCAAAACACAATTTGCACCAAAGGATTATGTTATTTGTATATAAAAATGGTACATAAGTGATGACATAAAATAATGTGGAGAGAAAAGATTGGATAAAAAAGTTGATTGTATTTTAAACTGATAAATGATAGAGTGCATTTGACATTATGTAAAACTTGATGTACATATAGCATAGTCCCCAAAATGGTTAAGTATAAATTTTGGCTTCATAAAAAATTGGTTAAGAGTATTTGTGTCCATTATTATTATACATTTTTAATACAATAGATTATTATTAAGAAATAAGGAAAAATTTTAGTTTTATGAGTAATACTATTTTATTAAAAAATATGTAATTAAAAATAAGAGAGGAAAAAAAAAGGTATTTTGAGAAAAGTAGATATCAAAAGAAGGGTTATATATTTTTTTATTTTGTTGAATGGACTAGCCCACCCTGTCCAAGAAGATTAAGCCCCTGTTTGGCCCCCATTACGGGGAAAATTTAATGTATAGAATAGTGTTTTTTGAAAAATGAGTGGTTGAAAAAGAAAGAAAAATTTTCGATTTACGTGTAATATTATTTTATGGAAGATTGTGTGGTTGAAAATAGGAGAGAGAAAAATAGAATGTAATGTAATGAAAATCAAATAATGGCTAATTCTATTTTGAGTCATGATTGGTGTTCAGAACCCCTACCGACACCTCACATTTGAGGGTGGGTAGGTAATTTTTTGATATTATTTAATTATGTAGGGCCCACGCCATTGTGAGACATCTGTATTTCTTCTCCAAAATTTTTTTCTGTACACAAGCCATTGATCTTCTATTTTTTTTTTGTCACTGAGCATCTAAGTCGCTGTGATTTGACTTAAGTACTCTGAGCCATCCTCGTTGAGTGTGTCATTTTTCCAGTTTGTTTCGTATATAAAAGTCCTATTTATCTTATCTTATCTATTGGACTTCTAGAAAGTCAAAAGAGAGTTCCATAATTCTATGCTGGCAAAAACACTCTTAAAGTTTAATGTTGGGAGCTCATTTGTCTTTTAGGTTACATGGATAGAACACGCTGAATACGATGAGAGTGTAATTCATCATCTCTACCGGACTTTGATCAATTCTGGCATGGGATTTGGTGCCCAAAGGTGGATAGCTACCCTCCAACGACAATGCGAATGTCTTGCCATTCTCATGTCATCTGCTGTGCCCGCACGTAATCATAACGGTAAATCTCGTCCCAATTTTTTGTTAAAAAGAATAAAAGCAGGCCAATCGATCTTTTTAAGTCTCTTATTGGACGAGAAAACTGAAAACTGAAAAACTCACTTTCTTTTGCGTGTAGCCATAACTGCTAGTGGGCGAAGAAGCATGTTGAAGCTTGCCCAACGAATGACCAACAGCTTTTGCGCTGGTGTATGTGTTTCCACCGCTAACAAATGGAACAAACTTTGTATTGGCAATGCGGACGAAGATATCCAAATCATGACCCGAAAGAGTGTGGACGACCCGGGAGAGCCCCCGGGCATTGTTCTGAGTGCTGCAACTTCTGTCTGGCTACCGGTATCCCCACAGAGACTCTTTGATTTCCTTCACGATGAACACCTCAGAAGCGAGTGGGACATCCTATCCAATGGCGGTCCCATGCAAGAAATGGCCCACATTGCTAAAGGCCAAGATCATGGAAACTGCGTCTCCCTCCTCAGAGCAAGTGTAAGTCCTATTCTCAGTTGGAAAATTGATGTAAATATGTGAAAGTTTGGGGGCTGATTGTTAATTTTAATGCGAAACAGAATAGCATGCTTATACTCCAGGAGACATGTATAGACGAGACAGGGTCGCTTGCGGTGTATGCACCCGTTGACATTCCAGCCATGCACGTGGTGATGAATGGTGGAGATTCTACTTATGTTGCCCTTCTTCCTTCAGGGTTTGCGATTGTACCTGATGGGTCTCGTGGGCCCACTAGCAACGGTTATCCAAACCCGAGAGTAAGTGGATCATTATTGACAGTAGCCTTCCAAATATTGGTTAACAGTCTCCCTACGGCCAAGCTCACAGTGGAATCGGTGGATACCGTCAATCATCTCATTTCTTGCACCGTGCTGAAAATCAAGAACGCTCTTAACTGTGAAAGTTGATCGTGTTTGCGGATTTTTATTCATAACAATAATAAAAATAATGTAGTTGGTGTCTACTCCAAGTGTCGGGGTGAGTCAAGAACGAACCGCGTGCTAAGACAACCCTTACAGGGTGTTAGTAGGAGCATTGGCAAGGGTGGTGGTTCGGGTATTGACTCAGTAAGTAGTGCCCTTTGAGCTGGCTACAGGTTAAATAAAGGATGGATTTTGACATTTGACATTACTGTTCTATTGCAATTTATGTATTTGCTTTTCTTGACAGTAATAAATGTGCTGAATTTTGCATGACAATTTGGTACTATTTTTACTATTGTTCCATTTTAAGGTTGTCTGATCGACATCCAAAAATTAAATATAAGCAATTGCAACATAGAATAAAAAAACTTTTATTGTGAAGGGATCGTGCATGTGTGAGTGTAGAGAGTA